AATTAATGTTAGCAAATTAATCATTCGATGCGATTTTGTTGCTTCTCTTCGGAATCGTTAAGCACAATATTCCAGCTCTAGGCATGTGTGCAAGTATATACACGTGGTATTTTGTCAATTTTCTCACTGAAAACCATAGTTCTGATATTGTAAAATGCTCGACTTTGTTAGTGCCTGCCCTATAATTCAATTTGATTCCGATGATTACAACAACTTCGAATCAAGAAACGAGTATCTTTTTTTGTAACCGAACTATTCATCTTATTAGCTGGATGAATCACATATACGTTGACCCTTACTAAGAATCCGTGGTCCTAAAAATTCACCTTGGCCTCGAATGACTAACAACATATATGGTGAAGTGATAAGGCTCTTCTTAGTGAAAAAAATTCTTATTTACCATGCCTTAAAAGGAAAAGGAAAATGAAGCACCATCTATATTGCTCTGGAAGTGTTTGAAATATATATTACTTAGATTTCTATATTTGACACTAAGCATAATTATGGCATGGAGACTCATTGTTATGCATATCATGGGAACACGTATTGCAAGTGTGCTCTATGTGCATGCTTCGACAGTTCTGTTACTGCATGTGCATTTGATAGTTCACAAAGTAGGTAAATTGATTTCATCGATTGATTTGAAGCTGAGAAAATGATACATAAACATGATAATTACCCTTAATTTCCCACTTACTCTTTGCGGGTCAACAGCTGGAATTACACTAGCACTGTTTGGCGGTGTTCGCAAGCACTCAATGGATCAGAACAAGGTACCTGTCCGAGGAGATATCCATGTAATAGTCGTAGGTATGGACGTACTCTTCCCTTGCCTGAAACTAGGATGAATTGCAAATGTCAGCATTTTGATGGAAATTTTTATTTACATTATTAGGTGATCCTGGACTGGGTAAAAGTCAACTACTCCAAGCAGCAGCTTCTGTTTCTCCTCGTGGAATATATGTATGTGGTAACGCAACAACTAATGCTGGCCTCACAGTCGCCGTGGTTAAGGATCCTATGACAAGTGACTATGCTTTCGAGGCAGGTATACTTCTTCCTCTTCTTTTTCCGATTTGACTATTGCATCTAAATCTGACATTTGGCATGTTCTCTTAAAATCTGTTCATAAATTTCTCAGCCACATGTCAAGTTTTGATTTGACAATAATAAGGTATATCTTAGTTGCTTAAGTTTACTCAGTTTGGTTAAAAAGTTGATGTAGTACATCACAACTA